GTGTGTGTGTGTGTGTATATATATATATATATATATATATATATATATATATGGAAAAGGGGTGGGGGATTTAAAAGTGCTGTATCTCAGTATTTTTATGTTAAGGTTATGGGTATTGTAGAGAAGCCTAAATTAGATCCTGGCAGAGAGACAGACAGATCTATCTAGTTACTTATCTATCTACCTATCTATCTAAACACCCCAGCCAATCCACTACATTATCTATGTATCGTTTTCCCCAGTTTGTAGTTTAATTTTATTTTAAATGGTCATTTATAATGTTTTAAATTTTTATAGATACCCTGTTGCAATCCATGAAGGGCATACATTTTTTGAGTCCCCTGTTCCATGAAGATGAAAGATTTTTTAAGTCTTCGTGAAGATGAAAGCATTTTTCAAAACTGTCCTAACCACAGATTTAAAAGAAAACTCAATGTTCTAGTGCCACAGCCACTACCTTTTTTATAACAAGATGGTGTCTACATACTGGTCATTTCCTTATTCTGAAAACATCAGTAATGTCAGAATCCCAGTGTTTTTTAAACTAGGTGGTTTTGCTGAAATGTCTGCACTGTGCTGTGTATATCGTTTGCCTCTTTTGTATATTTTTGTAGTTGTGAAAGAAAGAAATGGAGGGAAGGGAAGAAACAATATTTTTTTATTCTTTTCTTTATAGGCTGTAAGCAGCTGCAAATATGTTCATGTCCAGACCTAGTTTTCACAGAATAAAAAATGCAGCTTCATATTATTCCTTCATTTTAGATAGTTGTTTGCAGTGTTTCTGATTGTTGTCACACACTGAATATATGAGTAGAGACACTGGTTTTATGGTCCATGCAGGGCTGGCTCTGGCTTTTTTGCCACCCCAGGCAAAAAAGCCGCCGGCCGCCCCCCCCTGGCGGCCGGGGGGAGGGCGGCCGGAGCCCTGGGAGGAGGGCGGTGAGCCCCGGCGGGGGCTCCGCTCTCCCCCCGGCGGCCAGAGCGCCGGGGGGAGGGCGGCGAGCCCGGCCGTGGCCCCGCTCTCCCCGGGGGCCGGAGCGCCGCGCCGCCCCCCTCCAGGTGCCGCCCCAAGCACAAGCTTGGTGGGCTGGTGCCTGGAGCCGGCCCTGGGTCCATGACAACTGTTTGTGACATATCCTGCTGCCTAATAACCCTCGATTGGCCTACTTCTGCCGAAGTGTTAATTGCCCACTTCATTTTAAGTGGTCTCCTACAACATGTATAAACCTAGCAATCAGTCCCACCTTGTATTTAGCTTGGGCCCCTGGAAACCTTCTCCAGACCTGAAGAAGAACTCTGTGAAGCTCGAAAGCTTGTCCCTTCCACCAACAGAGGTTGGTCCAATAGAAGATATTACCTCATACCATATCTCTTTCATTTCAGGTAGACAGTTCTAACCCATTTGGTGAAAAATCTTCGTCACAGTTACTTTATCGAAATCCAAAACAAAATGTGAGCTCAGCAAAGAATTCGCTTGAATTTCAATTGAAACGAGGTACTTATAATTTGTTTTTAATAAAAAATAAAATGATGCTAATTATAGAAGTAATAGCACCATTTATCCTAATTCTGAAGGTGTTTGAAAACTATGGCCTGCATTCTTCCACTCCCATTTCAAAGGGGCTGTTTGAGAATTGAAGCACTACTTGGAGTGAGTAAGGGTGGCAGAATCTGGCCTGAAATGCAAAAATATGCTCACCGCTGAATTGCAGCCATTGCTGGGATAGAGGAACATGGCTGCTGTTTTACAGTATGCATGAATACTACATGACAGTTTAGTGTGGGAGCTGATTTCTCTCTTGTTTAGTAGCATGCTCTTTTGAAGGAAAGAGTTGTTGTCCACAGACCAACATTACCTCCTCTTCTCCATTGTTGTGTGCTACCTCCGTCAGGAAGTCTTTTCTCTAAGGGACTTGTCCAAAGGCCATTGAAGTTAGTAGAAATACTCCCATTGCCTTCAATGTGCTTTGGATCAGGCCCCCTGAGTCCATGAAGATATATAATTTTTTGTCTTCTTTGTTCTGATCCTTGTCACAAGCTGAATATTCGTCAAGTAATCAGGACACTAGGAAAAGAAAGAAAGTCATATACTCAAAGAGGAAGTTCTTCAAATAGTCACTTCTACTCGGAAAAGTGACTTTGTAAAAATGCCACCTTCTTACTCATGTATTTCCTTTAAGGTAGTTAGACTCATATCTGTTGCATTTATTAACAATGCTATGATTATAGTTCTCTTTGCTCCTGTTAGCCCTGCAGAGCCAGCACAGGTAGGACTGATGACATGATCCTCCAGTGCATTTCACCTGGCAAAACTTCAGTGCCTGAAGAGACTTTCTCATTAGTAATAATTCACAAGATGGAGACAACAAAGTCTGACATTCAGATCCCCCTCCCTGATCCTGACAGTTCCTCCTCTCTGTGTCAAACGGATGTTGGCAAAGGAGAGAATCTGGACCATAATATTTCAGTTTCTATGTCATTTGAATTAACCTCAACATATCCACTGTCAGGGGTTCTCAATCTTTTTCTTTCTGAGGCCCCCCCCCCCAACATGCTATAAAAACTCCACCACCCATCTGATTTTCTTCATATCCAGTAGATAAAAAGCCAGGGCTGGTGTTAGCGAGTAGCAAACAGGGTAATTGCCTGGGGCCCCATGCCACAGGGGGTCGCATGAAGCTAAGTTGCTTGGGCTTTGGCTTCAGCACCAGGCGACAGGACTCGGGCTTCAGCTTTCCGCTCTGGGATCTAGCGAATCTAATGCCGGCCCTGCTTTCTGCTTTATTTTGGCAGACCCCCTGAAACCTGCTCGCAGCCTCTCAGGGGTCCCTGGATCCCTGGTTGAGAATCACTGCACTATGTATTACTTCTGCAGTTGGTGGTCTAAAGAGACTAGGTCATCTGTTGCAATTCCTTTGACCAATGGGAGGTTTTAAATTATGACTGTTACATCAGGCTGTAGAAATTGTAAGTGGCAGTGAGTTACAGAGGGATCTCACAAAAATGGGTGATTGGACAACAAAATGGCAGATGAAATTCAACATTGATAAGTGCAAAGTAATGCATATTGGAAAAAAATAATCCCAACTATACAAATATAGTGATGGATTCTAAATTAGCTATTCCCACCCACCCAAGAAAGAGATCTCGGAGTCACCCATGGGTGGTTCTCTGAAAACTTCCGCTCAGTGCGCAGTGATAGTCAAAAAGGCTGACAGTATGTTAGGAACTATTAAAGAAGGGATAGAAAATAAGCCAGAAAATACCATAATGCCACCTTGAATACTGTGTCCAGTCCTGATTGACCCATCTCAAAAAGGATATAGTGAAACTGGAAAAGGTTCCGAGAAGGGTCACAAAGATGATCAAGGGTATGGAATGGCTTCCCTATAACTTTTTATGACTAAAAAGATTAGGGCTACTCAGCTTAGAAAAGATGACTAAGGGGGGATATGATAGAGGTCTATAAAAATATGACTGGTTTGAAAAAAGTAAATAGAGAAGTGTTGTTTCTCCTATACCACAATACAGGAACCAGAGGTCACCCAATGAAATTAATAGGCAGCAGGTTTAATGCAAACAAAATGAAGTACTTTTTCACACAACACACAGCTAAACTGTGGAATTTGTTGCTTTGGGATGTTGTGATGGCAAGAAGTATAATTGGATTCAGAAAAGAACTGGATAAGTTCATGGAGGATAGGTCCATCTGTGGCTATTAAACCAAGATGGTCAGGGATGTAACACCATGCTTGGTATGACCCTAAACCTCTGACTACCAGAAGTCGGGTGTGCAAGACAGGTGTGGATCACTCCATAATTGCTCTGTTGTGTACACTCCCCCTTCTTCTTAGTGTATGTGCAACATGCCTCAAGTGGCACGTGACCAGGATTCATCACCAAATTTGGTCTGCTGGTAGGATCATTGGTTTCCCTGGCCCAGGCTGGGTACTGATGGGGAGTGCGACATGAACGCTGATCCATGCCCCTCTGTGCTCCCCCTGAAGCTCTGGTACTGGCCACTGTCAAAGACAGGGTACCGGGCACGATGGTCTGACCCAGTATGGCAGCTCTTATATTCCTATACTCTACAAGGAACATTTTTAGTCATCTTGTGATTACGTTTTGAGTTCAATGCTAATATGTTGATGAACAGTGAAAGTAGTAATGTAAGAGTAAATGTTAATAATCAGCCATTGAAATGTCTTTTTTCTTTTAGCTTTATCTTTTGATAGCTGTGAAGCATCAAATTCCTCAGTTAAGGTAATTTAAAAAATAACTGTAAAATTACATCTTGTCTGTTAGTAGTTTAATCTACATATTTTAAAAAGAGAATTAAATGAGGGCAGTTGATGGCTCAGGGGATAGTAATGGCTAAGTCTGGTTATCTGTAATGAGAAATTATGAGAAAAGCTCTGCTCTGGTTATGGGTTGGAAAAAACCTCACAAATTTGTAGAACACAATGTCAAAAAGTTACAGGTCACATTGTTTTCAGCAAAAATTCTTTATTTTTCCATAAAAATAGGTTGAAACCATTTAAAAATCAGGCCAGTTACCCATACTTCATTATACTGGACATCTACAGAGCCAAATTTGTAAAGCTCCTTAGAAGAATCTAGCTCACTAGAGATCTGGCCAGGGTGACAAAGACCCATGACTTTAGATATTAAGGCTGTGACAAACCTACATGGAAATCTATTATAATAGAAATCATGGCCTAGACAAACATACAGTTTTAATAATGGAATATGGCGCCATTTGCCCTGAAATCATCACTTCAATTCAATCTCAGAGCAGTATTAACAGGAAGTCATTACTCTATCTGACAGCTGTTTAGTAAGCTACTGTATGTCTCTGTGAAATTAGTTAATAGTCTCAGTTTGGACTGGTATTCACATAAAAAAATCCACCGCCGCTCTGATTGATATCCTTCTCAGCAACTTTAGCAGAAAGGCCAAGAAATAAATGTGAGCTATCTTACTTCTACATGGTCTCTACACATCTGGGTTGAGGCACATCGATAGGATAGCATCGGAGGGTTTGCATTACTGTTCTGCAATACACATCTCCATCTCCGGTGCTCTCAATCTACCACCTTTCACCAGTACTAAATTCACTTTGAAATATTTAAATCCTACCAATGTGCCAAAATCTAAGACCACATTGGAGGAAAAAGGTTGTCCAGTCTCCATTGCCATTCAATCATTGGCCACTGTAGTAGATGTGTTAGCGCCAATTGTGATTATATTTTTTTCTGATTTTGGCACAGTCAGGAGTCTTGGCTCAAAAGGGATGTATGGGGTTGAAATAGATATGGGTATTTTGGATCAGGATTGAGGTGTACTATGGAAAGTTGCACCACACTTACCTGGCTTAATCAAGATAGCACTATCAGAGTTAGTTCCTGGCACTACAATCCACCCATAGAATAAAAAAGATTGTGATCAGAGACTGGCTTATCCATCAGCATCTATGACCAGGTGTCAGCACACAGGACCATGTGCAGGGGAGCAAAGCGATTTGAGCTGACTCGCCCTGGTGGCTAGGCTAGGAGGAGCTCATTAGCTTGACCTCAGGAATGTAAAAGGCTAAAGAGGAGTTCTCTGAGCCAAGAGAGAGTCACATGGGTTGACCAGAGCTATTACGGGGAGGATCCTGAAGCATAGGCTGCTAAGGAAGGAGCTCGGGCTAAGATTTGCCTTAGCCCTTGCATTAGTTAAGACTAAATGCAAATACCAGGGATGGGGTGAGTTTGGACCAAATTCCATTGTGCTTGTGCTGCATTACGAGTGAAGTAAAAGTCTCGTCCTTTTACAGTGCCCCTGAGTCTTTCTCCATAGCAGAATATCTGATGAGTGAGCTCATTTGGAAGTCACCCTGTCTCTTGTTGAACTGTGTTACACTGCTTCATCACTGACTGATTTGAACAGTAAATGGGAAAGTATCTTACAGGTATATTTTTGTGGCAAACAATGGAATGAGGTACTTTTGCCCCAGGTGGCTCTTCTAAAGAAAGTGTGCCAAATTCTGCTCTCCTTTTTACCCAGCAATGTCATTAACTCCAGAGAGGTGGGTTAGATAGGTATAGCTGGGACAGAATTTGACACACCACATTGCAACAGGTTTGGATTCTGCAAGGTTTCTGTTGGGTTTTAGCCAGAGAACTGAAGAGCAGTATCCAAAGTGGGACTGCTTCAGGGCCTGAGAGAATGGAGATGTTTGCTTTGAGTGACATTGTTGCACAAGCTCTGGCCCTGTATTTAATTATAAGCTCTGTAGACAGACCTCTTTGTCGTCCTATCACAACACCTTGAAGTCAATATTCCAAAAAACTCCCAACTGGCAGGTGCAGGTTTTTTATAGGCCTTTTTCACTGTCCTTCTTTGTGTTGTTTTTCTACTTAGTCCCTTGCAACATCAAAAGTCAAGATGACTGACTGTGGGAAGGAGCTTCATTTTAATACAGCACAATAAGGGTTTAGAGCATTACAGTAGAAATAGCTTGCTTATCTGTTCCTACGCTACGCTACACTTTCACAAATAAACTTGTTTCTGACTGGCTGAAATGTTGACTTTTATTAGCTTTTGTGAGTGATTAATGGTTAGCTGTCCAGCAGTGTGATTGATTCTGCTTATTATTAGAAAATGAGGCTCACAACTAATAAGAGCTTCTGTTTGGTCCAGATTTTTGAAGTGTTCCCATTTACCTGCCCAGATTTGGGGTTTGCTCATACTTAAATCAGTCCATTTATACATATGGCATTATGAGTTTTCAACTTCAGCCTGATATTCCACACCCCCAATGCAACAAAATACTGTAGACTGTCTCCTCCGTCTCTCTCCCCCCCCCTTGCCCTCCTCCCTGTGTCCTTTCTAACTAAAGAAAAATGTTTCTTTGTTCCACAGGTTATCAGGGAACCGGATGAACAGGCCACATCTGAACATGATTCATCATCTCTTGAAACAGATGAACTTGTAAATTACCCAGGCAGTTCTCCTACTCAAGGAGATTTGACATTTCACCGCACAGCGTCATTTGCCACCTCCCCACATTACAGATCACCTAGTCCTGTTCGGAGTCCCTCTCCTCTGCAACACAGGTTATTGATCCTGTATAAAAATCTGTAATTGAGTGACATGATACTGTAAGTAGGAGCAGTGATGTTGAATGACCAAAAACATCCAAGCTACTTTCTAAGGGTGTCGAGTTTGTGACTCTCAGATATGTTTCTGTGGATCATTTTGACAGTACTCAGTGATTATTAAAAGATATAGACCTGTGTGAACGTACATGGGAACATAGGAATAGCAATACAGCAACAAACCAGTGGTTCTTCTAGTTTAGTGTATCCTGTCTCTGACAGTGACTAATACCAGATGCTTGAGAGGAAGGTACAAGAACCCCATTGTGAACAATTGGGGAAAAATACATTCATAGAAGAAGTTTCTTCCTAACCCCAGTTAATTAATGGTTAATGGCTTATGTTCTGATAGGTGAGGCTTATGTACTGTAAAGATCTTTTAAATCATACCTTATGTAACTGGATGTTCTTATTAGCCATAAAAATGCGCTCTTGGCCGCAATAATATCTAGTAGCAATTAGTTCCACACACAACTGATCCATTGTGTGAAAAACAGACAACAAATGTATTTCCTTTCATCAGCTTTAAATCGGTTGCCTTTAAGCTTCACTGACTGCCCACCTTGTTCTTATATTGTGAGAAAGAAGAGCTAGGATTTATCTTCTCTGCACCATTCATTAATCTTTATCCGTATCATGTCCCAGAATATTTGACTTTTAAAACTGAACAGTCCCAATCTTTTCAATCTTCCTTTAATGTATCGATCTATAAATACAGACTGAGGCTTACTTTAACCTGATAGAAGTTAAGGCTGATATCATTGCTGAGTTCAGTCCGCCTATCACCCTGAAATATGTTAAGGGCTGTTGATTGCCTCGGCTGAATGGGGAAATTTGTTGCCAAAAGTACAAGAAGAATAATTTCTCTGGTGTCCATTGGTCCTGCATTGCAGAACATGCAGGTCAGAGGTTAGAACAGTTTGTTGGCAGCCACATGTTGCCTCGGGGGAGGCTGGAGCTAGTTCAGTATGTTTTGCAGAAGAAATGGAAAAAGCTCTACGCTTTAGAGTGCACATGGGAAACTTAACAGGACAGAAAAAATGGTCTTTTTTCTGAGAAAAATTGTCAAGAACATATATTATTGTTTGTTTATTTGTATTGAACCAGAACCCTGTTGTGCTAGGCGCTATACAAACACAGAACAAAAAGACAGTCCCTGCCCCAAGATCTGAAAATCTAAGGAACAGTTGTGCTCTGCTTGGGTCTTTCAGAATAATCGTTAATCCCACCTTCCTCCCATCCCCCCACAACCCTCCATACACAGAGTATTTTGGATATCAATCAAAATAACTTTTAAATCATTTTCCCATTAGGCATCAATCCAGCAAAGCACTTAAGCATTTAGTTAACTTAAGCATGTGAGTAGTCCCAGTTTTGCTACAATAAAGTCACTGGGAATACTCATATGCTTATAGTTAAGCACATGCTTAAGTGCTTTGCTGGATCAGGGTCATTGTTAGGAATGGCTTGTTGCTGATTATTCCTTGTCCAGTTTGTACTGATTCTCTAACTGCTGGGTTCTATGTAGTATGTAGGCTGAAGAGTCCAGAAAGATAATGTTCCATTTACAGGTCTGTGTAATGGATGGGAAAATAGGTGCTTCTGTGTGGAAAAAAGAGGCGCTGACTAGCCTCAGACTTAGGATGGCTTAATTTGGCTAAATTCCCCTCCATTGCATGCCAGGTGAAAATAAAGCACTGATGACTCTTTATCTTCAAGGGATCATCAAGAACAGAAAAACATAGTGTTGTAAGAGGGTTCCTCTAATATGTTTGTCTGTGTAGATGGGACAAATTGTATTGCAAAGCGTTGTGATTAGGTGCTCAAACAATTTTAACTATAATATAAATGGGCGATTAGGACTAAACTTTCATATTCAGATGCCTAAAGTTCAAAAAGTTAAGTATCCAATTCCTTTACTTATGCAACCCAACAGGTACAAAAGTAGCTGTGGTGTTTTCTGATTAATAAAGCATCCTTTTACATGCTATTTCTTTAATAAAGAGCGTTCCTTCCTTTATGCTGCTCTAATGGTTTTCTGGCATGACCAGTTCTCTGCTCAAGCCACCTATCCTAGCCTCTCTTTCTGGGTAGACTAAATTACTAAAATAATTTAACTTAGAAAAATGACAGCCCCTTATTTCACAGATATAGTAGCATGATTGTTCTGCGGAAGAAGCGGTCTTGACCAATTCAGCAAAGTCCAAATCTCCAAATCTCGCATGTAACTCTTGATTATGGCCACAAGGGTAAGATGAACTTATGGGGCCAAATTTTCAAAGTGGCCTCTTTTTCTGCACACAGTTGCCAGCCCATGTGATTTTTGTGTGTGCATGATCTCTTGGATGTGTCAAGTGACGTCATTTATATGTTCAAATCCAATTTAAATGTATTTTATGCCCATTTTGCACATGGAGACAGAGCTTCCATTAGGAAATCACTTGCAAATACTAATGTGCCAAAAAAAAAAATTGTGTGTGTAGAGACTGTGTTTTGAAAACTTGTTTTTTTATACACAGCAGTGTGAACGTTATTGGTACACGTGTGGTTTGTGTCGGAGCTTTATCAAGATTGGTTATCTCTGTGAGCAAACAAACGAATTAGGCAGCTTTTTCAGAATAGGATTTTGAACAGTTTAACTCATTAAACCTAAGGGTGTTTTTTGTTGTTGTTGTTGTTGTTGGAAAGTTGTGTGGCAACTTATGAAATGGCAGCTTGTGGAGATAGTTTTGTGGTGCAATATACTGCAGGGCTAAACTGAGACAATGATATCAGATTAACATTGGAGATCACCTGGACTGCACTTAAAGAACTGGATTCTTTCTGTTCATTATCATTATGTGCAGCCCTGCAAACAATATGTTGGCTCTGCACTTTGTGGATCAGCTCTGTAAAATACTGTTTTCTTTTACTGGAGTTGCAAAGCATAGTTACTCTCTGAATTGCTGCACATAATGGAAGTATGGTGCTGAGCGCTGCACTTTGTTGACGACTACGTGTTGTTCCTTGGCGGCTGATGTTTATTGACTATAAAAAGAATCATTGTGGTGCTTTTCATGTTCATTTACTTTAACATGAGCTTTTGGACAAAAGAAAAAATCATCTTTATCCTGGACTTTATCTCCCAAGGAATAAAGGAGCAGTCTTGCCTTTGCTTATAATAATCAAAGCAGGTGTAGCTGCACTACTTCTCAATAATGTTAATGCACATTGATTAATCCTCACACCTCTTCTGTGAGTTAGGAAAACAGCATTAGGCCATTTTACCAAGTGGGGACCTGAGGCATACAGTGGTTAAGTGTCTTCACCTGAAAGTAAGGGAGTGGCAGAGCAGGCTGGAACCCAGAGGTTTGGCCTTTTGTTCTAACCAGCAGGTGACATTGCCTGCAAATTTTATTTTGCTTATTCATTTCCTGCTTGTTATCAATGCACTGGTCCTGCCCAAGAGAGTACAAATCCTGCACTGCAGAACGTATTAAGCATGACTTAAACCGAATGTCCAAATTGCCTGGAGGCTTCAGTGATAACGTTAATTTGTGCATTTAGTTACACGGCAGAACCATCTATAATGCAGCTTTTTAAAGATGTTATAGTTGATTGACGACACTCTGTGCAGGGGAGGGAATGCTGCCAACAGGGAAGGGGAAGACTTCTTTGGATTATTTTGCTGTATGCAGCGGGGGGAGGAGGGATGGTGCAAGAGAGCAGAAGACAGCATCAAAGGGGAGAGAAAGAGAATGGCAGGGAAAAGGAAAATATTTGAGGAGACGGGGAAAAAGTTAGGAAAAATGGGGAGAGCATGAGGGGAAGAATGAGGTGGGGAACCTGGTGTGGGGGAGAAAGGAGAAAATGTCAGCAAAAGGAAAATGAAACATAATTCAAGTGAAGGAATGGGAATGAGCAGTAAGTATCACCAAATGTGAGCAGGGAGAGAGGGTGAGTGAGCGAGAGATGAATGGAGATAATAAAAAGCTGAAGGAAATGGCAGAATAAAAGAAAAATAGCGTGAAGGGGTAGGTGGGTGGTCTGTGAGAAACCAGCCGCCGGTAAAACTATTGCATGTTTGAGAATAATGAGTGTGAGGGAGACAAAAATGAAAATGAGAGAGGAAAAGGTTCATAAAGATACAGAAGGGCAAAGATAGGGTGAAAGATCAGAAAAGGGAAAGAAGGAGAAGGAAGAAAATACCTGTTGTGCTTTAGATCAGCAGGACACTTAAATAGGTGTCTAAATATGTGAGTTGAAGTCAATGGAACTACTCACATGCCTTACTGAACAGTGGCCTTGGCCACTAATATCTGTTAAGATACATTATTAGAATACGTCAGGTTCTCCTCTTCTCTTCATTTGTACAGTACTAACACATCCATGTAAGAAGAACACAGTCAAAAGATTGCTGAGTCCCATTTTAAGTGCGTCCTTTAAATAGTGCATCATATTCTCAATGACATGACATACACCTGAACCCCGATATAACGCTGTCCTCGGGAGCCAAAAAATCTTACCGCGTCATAGGTGAAACCGCGTTATATCGAACTTGCTTTGATCCGCCGGAGTGCACAGCCCCGCCCCCCTAGAGCGCTGCTTTACCGCGTTATATCCGAATTTGTGTTATATCGGGTCGCATTATTTCGGGGTAGAGGTATATTTTGTCTTTCAAGAGGGCCAAACACCTCTTGAAACTCTCTTGCTTTTTCTTGAACTGGTTATACCTGTCAGCTCCACATTTAATGGGTCAGTGTGTGAAAAAGGACATTATGAATAAGGTACTTGGCAAAAAAAAAAGGCTTTATGGCAAAGGAGAATTTGGGATGTAACTGTTTTGATACATTTTTGCAGGTTATACTCCAATCCTCATTTCAGTTGGGAAAAGATCCACAAGAGAGTGCAGAATCTCCTAACCTCAAACCAGGCAAAGCAGAGACTTTCCTTTGTGAGTATTAATATTACAACTCGAGAGCAGCTGGTGCCGATATGACAGTGTCACCTAATTATCTGCCCTTCCCAGGTTATAGGTTTCTTTGTCCACTCAGTCTCCCACTGCCCCCATACATATAATATAAATGTTCCAGTTGGGTTTTCAGCATCCAGAGTATTCACCCAAAAATGTCTGGCTAGGTCTGAACTAAGTATTGTCTCATTGGTATTCACCACCACTTCTGTATACAACACGAATGCAGCAGTGGTGTCCATGGCTGTAACAGAGAAGGGATTGAGAATGTCAGGGTGACTTAGGATAAAAAGAGGTGTAATAATGTTGGAACCCACACACCCTAAAGCATGGAGAGATGAATGAACAAAAGGAAATGGTTTCAGTACAGTTGCTGAAGCAGAAAGGCTTTTTTGATACGTTTTCTGCAGCTAGTCCATATGAATAGCACTCTGAACTATCTTGAGGAGTGAGCCACTGTACTTGTGTTCATGTATGAGCCTAACCTGCACAGTGGCCAGCTGGATGCCATTATTGACAGCTATCTCTTTGCTAATGTGGGGATCCAGCGTTCCTGGATCTAGCCTAGTATCCCATGCAATTTTAAATAGATCTAAGGGAGTGATTGGCAATTCACAGCCCTGCTTTACCGTGGCTGCCTTGCACAAATACCTACATGTTCAGAGCTACTCAAAGCATTCCACACTGTTTGGTTTATTTCTAAGTTAACAAATGCACAGAATACATTTAATTGATACTAAAAGAGAAAGGATGTATATCTGAACCATGATGCCCGCTCCCCAGGCCAACTATCTGACCCTTACTAATAGGAATATCCCCACTGAAGTTACACAAGGAGTGAAACTGGTTCTCTCAGTGTCCCTTTACTCATCTGTAAAATGGGGTTAATAATAATAAATACTAACCTCATAACAGGATGATAGAAGTCAACGGGAGAACTTGCATGAATAAGGGTTGCAGGATCAAGCTTTTCATTTCACTGGGATATTTAAGAACTCTGGATCTTAAAATTAAAACAGTTGCTGTCACACCCTGACGTCACAAAGGGTGCATCTGCCCTGCATGCTTCTTTTGGCGGCCTGTAGTGTACATCCCATGTATATTCTAGCATAGGTATAAGTAGCGGTGTAAACAGTGAAGCATGGCTTAGGTGAGGAGAGTAAAGGCGCATCTGAAGGGTGTGGGTATGCATGTGAGTTACATACTCTACATGGCTCTCTACATGTCCAAGCTTTGCCTCTCCTTCTACACTTGCTATTTTTAGCAGAGTAGTGTCCTGTTGCTGCCCCACTGCTGAAGCCTTTCCCCACTGCCTTGCCTCTGCCAGAGCCTTTCACTGACACATGGAGCTACACATCAGATTGTGGATGTGGTGTTCTTTTCACTGTGGTGTGTAGTTACATGTACACCACATGCTGCCAAAAATGGTGTGTAGTGTAGACGTAGCTATAGTGCCATTCAGTGTAACTGACCTTGACTCCACTTAGAAAGATGTTTATCATGAAGTCAAACAGAGCCAACATTTATACTCTCTAGTGCGCAAATCCACTTCCCAGTTCCACATTAATCCCTGCTACAACTCCATCTACTTTAGAGTAGTTACACCAGAGATGACTTTGAGCCTGAACATTTAAGTGACTTGCCACACAGTAAATCAATGACAGAGCTTAGAGGAGAACTTCCCTTTCAGTCCACTGAGCCACACTGCCTCTTTGGAACCCTACATTCAAAGTACTCATGTACCCTCAGCTATTTTCTGCTCATAAAACTTTTGCAGTCATTTTGTCTCTGCTCATCCCATTATTTTCAGGTTATGCCTTGTATCAACCAGGAACTGTTCTTGTTGCGTGATTTCAAAAACTTCTAGATGGAGGCATCGTTTCAGTGAGTTTACGGAAGCTGGTGTTACTTGCTGCTATCTCACTGACATGATTCCAGCCAACAACGCTGGGAAATATAGAGCACAATCTCCTAGATTTATTGCCCCGAACTTATAGTAATACGTTGTTTTAACTCCCCTGGAAACAGCTGATAGGTTTGCTTTTGGCTAAGGACATTAACAGTGCTTATGAAGATGAACAATGAAATTAATCGGACAGGCTTTTTCAGGGAGCCACTGATTCTGAAATTGATGATGTCCTTGAAAGAAGGTCCATCTCTTTGAGGAGTTCCCCTCAGGATGATTCACTGGAGCAAAGATATTACTAAGTAGTTGTCATCAGAAAGGTAAGTGCCTAAATGCTTCTCTTCACTTTTAGATTTACTGGGATTATTTCGGATCCAGGAACTTTATACATTTTTGTATTCCTGCAGGAAAATCTGTTGTAAAAGTATGCTAAGCAGCCCTATTTCCTGACTATACAACTGCAATTTACTTGTAATTGCCAAAATAAGCTATATTTTTTGTGTTCTTAAACTCCCAGTCACTTTAAGAGCCATTATACTCAAAAAAGTGACTCTAAAAGTGGCATCATGGATTTCCTTGTTTGCCATCTCTCTAGGATACCATTTCATTAGTTTACATGAAAAACATTTTTCTCTCTCTTTCTTTTTTTTTACCAATTGCCAATGCTGCAAACATCATAGTAGGATCTGAAAATCATGCTAGGTTCTTTCTGGTTAGTACATCAGCACTGGCAGCAAAGATTCTGTAGCTGGAACTTCGTTTAACAGTTCTCGTTAGGTTTTTCAAAGGGGTCTAGGCAAGTTAAGGTGCCCAACTTCCATTGAATTTCAGTGGGATTTGGGTGCCTAACAATCTTAGGCTCTTTTGCAAATCTCAGCCACTGTTATAAGAGAGAACAGAATCCAGCTCAGTCTTCCTCAGATGTGTTACCTCTACATTATTAGCAGGAGTAAAAAACTGGTCAACTATTAATAATTAGGAATTAGGAAATTAGGAAATAATTAGGAAAAATTACTGAGGTCTCTAGTGTATGGTGACATGGCTCAAGATACATACAGGGAGCAGATTTGATGAGTAAGAAGATGGCATTTGTACACAGCCCCTTTTCTGACCATAACCACACTTTAATATGTTTCTATTTCTCAAACATTTTTCTTCACTGGAGACTTAATTTTTGATCCATTGACTCTGTGTGAAACAGCAGTCTGTGGTTTCATTGCTCAGCCAGCAAATGAAGGGCCAGATTCTATCATGCTTACATTGAGTGAAATCCCATTTAAGTCCAGGGGAGCTTTGCCCAATTAAGGATTTCAGAATTTGGCCCAAAGTGATTTAGTTCATTTGGATTTTAAAGGACAAATCCTGTGAGTAAACACACCTGTCAGCATATCCCTAAAGAGTATGTTAAATATTTTCTTCTCCATCACATGCTTGCTTTTTTTTTTACCTAAATGTCACTCATTTTGATGGGATATTAACATTTTTTATTAATGGAAAACTGGGCAAAATTCTGCTCTCAATTAATCATGCACAAATTCAACTCTGTTAACTTTAGTTGAGTGGCACACGTATAATTGAGGGCTTACCTACAAGGGGGACAAGCCTGAAGCAGCTACTGCAGAAAAGCTATTGCAGGAAGTATTCATTTAGACAAGCCCTTAGGGAGCACCTTTCTCCACCTTCCTCTGTAGCTGAGGATGCAATACAACAAAACAGATAGTTCCAAACTTTGGATAACAAAATTGGTCCAATAAAAGATATTACCTCACCCTCCTTGTTTTACTTAACTAGGTTTTGGATAATCAGGGTTTTATTGTAATTCAAACGGGAATTTGATTGGGACACCAGGATTAACAACAATCACATTCTTGCAAAAGGAGCCAGAGTATCTTTGATGACCACCCTGCAGCCAGGACCCATCTTTCATGTCTCATTTGAAAGGTGTCCTCTCCCATAGCACAGTGTCCCCAACACTATACAAGGACATATGTTCAGTAAGGCCTCACTTACTGCACCACTTTTCACCGGCACTTCTTCCTGCTGCAATAAGGGCATTGTTGGGGGTCTCTCGTCCAAATATTGAGAAGGTCTCACTCTTAGCTTATGACATCAGATAAGATCACCTCCTAACATGGTAGAATTGCAGACAGCAGCCCCTGTAGTTCTTTCTCCTTTGCTATACCTGGCATCCGCGTGAGCAGCCACCAGTGCTGGCAAGATTAGGGTGAACATAAAGGATGGCAAGAAAGGTGGAAATTCCCTACTTGCTTAATTTGCACTGATTTAGCCTATGTGATTATTTATAGAGGAACATGGGTTCTAGTTGTGCAGTTGCTCCTCAGCCTAGCACTACGTTCTCTTCAAGATGTGCAGTGACTTTAAGAAAAGTTATGTAGATTCTGTTCTGTACGGCTGCTGTCACAACTGATGACACTCTTGAACCGGATGCTGCTTATAACTGTCTCTGAAATGCCAAGTATAATTTAAAATGTAATTTTCACAGATGACAATAACTGGTTTTCTTATTTGCTGAACTAAGAGGCTAAAGGCTGAATGGGCATGGAAACTGAACAGCTCTCTTACAATCTACAAGTGTTTCCTCTAGGTCAAATTTGAGTCATATGGGGAAGCTTTGTGGTGATGCTTGCACTGCTACTGATTATGCTGTATCTGGTTTATGGATTAACGAACTACTGCAGTCTCCACCCTAACCAAATTCTCCTATAGCTTATTTAAATCCATCTCATTTTTAACAGGAATCCATCTCCGAGGCTGTACATGGCTTAGAGGTGCTTTTCTCAGTGAGAAGTTTCACAGAGCACTGATAGTGCAAGTAACAGCTTCTGCTTGAGAAATGTAAAGTTGCACTAAAGACTTATTTTGGCTGGTAGAATTACAAGTTCTGACTTAAAATCGAAGGGCTGAGGGAGCTCTTAGGCACTTGAAATATCGACTAATTGCAATAGGCCTCCTAAATGTCTGGTTTAACAACAGCAAATATTCTGTAAGCTGTCTTTATGTTTACGTATATATTGGTTATATAGCGAGTACTTAGGTGGTAAATTTCATGTACTTAATTGCATAGTAATTACATTTTACAACAGAAAATCCTCGTGACAGGCCTGGTGGTAATTACTATAGGCCAAATCGATCATTTCCATGGAAGATTCGTGGAAGCCAGAGAGACTGGGACGTTTCCCCAGATCATTTTGGGGGAGATAGGATGGGCACAGTGTGTGCAGAGGGTTCAGCCCCAGAACTCCTAAGAGTTGATACATAGGAAGCCAGGATGGTCTATTCATAGACCCTGTGCCCCCACACTGATTCCAGGGCCCTGGGTGCCCTAGCAAGCTCCTTGGCAGTACAGCTGTAATGGAGGCTCTTTAACAGGGTTTCCTTCCCAGGCCACTCCCTCTTGAACATCCCTTCCAGGGATTTTGGGGTCAATGGCACAAAAGCAAGCTACAGAAAAAGTAATAAAGCCTTAGGCTCTCTTACCTTTTCAATTGACTCTGTGCAGTTTTGAAGGGGATAATGTGCATAGCACCCTGTCCCATCTGCCCTTCTCCATATGTGGCTTACTGCAGAAACAGAGAATTGGGGTGGTGCCACAGAGTGACTGAATCCCCTTCTTCGGAAGCAAGGTAAGATCTGCACAAAAGCATAATAATCCTGGTCCAAATCCTGCAGGCAAAAGTCACATTAGATTGGGTGGGAGTTTTGCCCAAGTTAGGAGTGCAGGATTAGGCTCTCTTTGTTTGGGAAACATTGTTAACTGGAGGTGAATTAATAAGTACATTAAGAGGACTTAATTTTGTGTCCTGTAACTTAAAATAGTTTTTCAAAATCGTATTTCTCTGAGATTACAATTTACAATTACCTAAAAAACTACTTGCCTGTAAAACAGACTTCAAAAATGATTTTTTTAAACAAAAATTCTTGGAGCTATTTTGTAATATACACTCTAACTCCTTTAGCAGAGACAACTCAACAACTGCTGGACTCCAATTTGAAGAGTTGAGAGGACGTCTCCATCTCAGAGTTGATGATGTGTATCCAGGGGTTCATTTTCTGTGTGGTGTTATGTCTAATCTCTTTCTTAAAGTGAGACTCTGTATTGTGCTGGATAAGCACGGCTGATTAAATGATTGCAGTGTGTGGCTCAGATATCATTTTCATATGAGTGTACATCTATTAGCTCATTAAGGACTAAAAATAATAATAATGGTGCTGCAGATCTTTGAGCTTTGGTTGTTGGCAGAATTTTCTGCAAGTATCACATTTGGAATTACCTTACTTGTGACTGTTCCAGCATTAGAACTGACTATCTAGAATGAGTTGCTTTTTTCAGAAGTCAGTTCTCTTCTCAATATATGCACATCATTCTCGTTGGTGCACTTGTATAGAGAGGAAACAAGACCCTTTGAATACTGAATTACTGTATGACATACATTTTTTCAGACAACCAGTTAAAATGAACCTGTGTTAAATGTGTATCCTTTCTTGAAACATTTCTTTTAATAAAATATTTCAAATAATTGCATTATATAAAATAATTTTATTTAAATTGAATTTGTAATAAAATTATGAAGATAGCATCTAGAACCTTTTTCTGCATGTTTAACTGCAGGCTTGTCTGGTGAAGCACCATATATGGTGTTATGCTAAGTTATTATTCATATTAATACAAGAGTATTATTGTCAGAGGCTTGCCAAGTAAAAATAACCCACAGAGGGTACAGAGAAATCAGAGAAAGTCATAGGTGCAAATGTTGGAAAGGAATTATAAGAGATCTTTGGAGTGAAACTAGAGGTTCTGCTATAGCCCTACTAAAATGCATTGGAGAGAGTGAGAATGAAAACAGTGGCATCTTCCCTTCCAATGCCTTGATCCTACCAAGATCTATGCATATGGTTAGCTTTATGCGGTGAATGGGACTGCTCACAGTTCGTAAAGCTAAGCACAAGCTCTTTCTTTGCAGGATGAGAGCCTAACTAAAGACTGTGAGTCCAACTGTCCTCATAGACTCATAGACTTTAAGGGAAGGGACCGTCATGATCATCTAGTCTGACCTCCAGCTAACCCCAGTGGTTTGAGCATTGGCCTGCTAAACCCAGGGTTGTGAGTTCAATCCTTGAGGGGGCCATTTAGGGATCTGGGGCAAAAATCTGGGGATTGGTCCTGCTTTGAGCAGGGGGTTGGTCTAGATGACCTCCTGAGATCCCTTCCAACCCTGATATTCTATTATTCTATACTCATGCAGGTGGTTGGTTGTTGGCATCCTTTCGTCTGCGAGAGACGGTGGGAATTGCAGCCTATGATGTAGATAGTTTGCAATGTCTCATGTGACTGAATAGTCCATAATTTGCATGATCTTTGGCAGTTATTGCAAATGTATGTATCTTGGTTGGGAGCTCCTTGCTTCCTACTGGCTCTTTTCTCTTCAAGCTGTAGGAGACAGCTCCTGTCATGGACTTCGATACCCTGATGGAGACAATGACGCCACTTGTTACGATCACTTGCCAAGATTTCCCATTGGTCAGGATCAATTCCAAATTCCTTCATATCTCGCTTGCATGTGTCTTATAACGAAGCTTGGGACTTCCTGTTATTCTTTTTCCCTCTGATAGCTCCCTGAATAGCATGTCCTTGGGTATACGTCCGTCTTCCAACCTACTCAGATGGCCCAGCCAGTGCAGTCGTCTTTGCTTGAGCAGGGCTGTCACACTTGGTAAATTTGCCCTTTGAAGAACCTCTGTGTTGGTGACTTTATCCTTCCATTTGGTGTTGAGTATGTGGCGTAAACAACGTAAGTGGAAACTGATTAACCTTTTCTCCTGATGAGCATAAGTTGTCCATGTTTCCCCACCATACACGAGGGTGCTGAGGACGCAAGCTTGGTACACTAGCATTTTGGTCTTAATGGTAAGCTTTGAGTTGTTCCTTGCTCTTTTAGTTAGTCTGCTAAAGGTGATGGCAGACTTTCCAATGTGAACATTTAGTAGCCTGCATTTCATGCAGATAGCCTCACTGAATTCAACGAGTCTGGTTATTCTATAGCTGTACGTAGGATCCATAGGCTGTAAGCTCAGCTTTGTATAGGAAGGAGAGAATGAACTGAGCCCAGTCGGGAGTCTGTTCTATATGTAATATTCCATTAGAACAACACCCCATTTCAGATAATAATTTAACCTTATCAAGAAGCCCACTTTTGTTGGTGAGATCTGGCCTTTTCAGAGTCGTAATATGAACTGCCTTGTCTTGTCTCTGGAAACCAGCTCTATTGCCCTCGACTGATGGCTCCCTTTGGCTTCAGTCTATCAGCCCCATGGGTTTGTGTAAGCGTTTTAAACCACAGACTGACAAAGAGATGGTAAAGGGCAAATGACACCATCCAGACATGAGAACAGAATAAATAAATACAGAAAAAGACCATTTTCAGTTTCCCATTCATCTGAATGGGAGTCTGCAATACTGTAAAGTAACAGACGGGTAGCCGTGTTAGTCTGAATCTGTAAAAAGCAACAGAGGGTCCTGTGGCACCTTTAAGACTAACA